TCTACCCGTATTCTTTAGCCCAGTCGGTGCAGAAAAGCAAGACGTTAAATCCCATTTAATTTCACTTATTCGTCTACATATATTCCTTATTCGTCTACATGTCATCAACGTATTATTTTAGTACCACCAGCGAAGTGGCCAAAGGGCACATATAGTTTATTTGAGCCCACAGAAGGTTGTCCTACAGGATTTAAACAGGGTTCGATTAAACATTGGAGTGTTGGTCATAGTAGAATCGGTACACCATTCAACCTATCAGGAGAATACATGTCCACCATATTCAAACATCAGTTCTGTTCTATCACTGACAATAAAGATGGCGGCGAGTGGGAGAGAGGACAGTACTGTATCTTCAGACGAGGGGGCACCTGTCCTAAAGGTTAGTTGTATGTATTTATAGTGTGTTTGCACCCGATTTCCTCACGTTTATTTTATACATTATTAATAAGGTAAGTCTGTTATATAACAAAATCTGAATTACTCGACAAGATTGTCACCAGGTCTCAACAACAAACTTGCCCAAATGTGAGAGAAAAACACCTAAAATTAATAATATAGCCACATCGTAACGTATTTCTTTGAGGGCCCCGTCGCAACTTTTGCTTTTTTAAGGTTCAATACCGGTTGTCCAAAAGGAATCAAATCACCACTGTAACCTGTAAAATTATAGAATTTACCGAAAAGAACACAACAAACTCTAAAACAAATGAAATGATATGTTTATTCACTAGAATGTAATTTATCCTTTAATTACACATAACTAAACTGTTAGCTGGATCAATGAGCTTTTATCAAGATAGGCGTATACTGTTGTTGTTTTTATATGTTGTTTATTATATAATAAAGGCATGTACTGTTGCTTTTTATTATATGATCAAGGCGTGTGTTGTTGTTGTTCATTATATGATAAAGGCGTGTACTGTCGTTGTTTATTATATAATAAAGGCGTGTACTGTTATTGTTTATTATATAATAAAGGCATGTACTAGTGTTATTTATTATATGATAAAGGCGTGTACTGTTGTTGTTCATTATATGATAAAGGCATGCGTTGTTGTTCATTATATAATAAAGGCATGTGTTGTTGTTGTTTATTATATAATAAAGGCGTGTACTGTCGTTGTTTATTATATGATAAAGGCATGTACTGTTGTTATTCATTATAATGTATAATATAAAACTGGGGGATTAAACAATCTCGTGTTTTGTAGGATTTGAAGAGGGATTTATTCAGTTCGATGACAGCTCAAAACAAGCAGGTCAAGACGTTAAACCGGAAGTAAAGGATAAAATACCCGACGGTACCTATGGAAAGGATGTAGGAATACAGACATGTTGCCGTGATGATGGTTATATTGATGAAGCCATAACTCTTCCTCTTGATAAACCATTCGTTCTACTACCATTAGTCTTTTATCACGATTGTCAACATGTTAAAGGTGAGATATATTGTAGATAATAAGGTGCCGAGAAACATAAGCAAGCCCTAGAGCAGTGGTTCTCAACCCTTTTTACAAACGGCACACCTTGGAACACATGCAAAAAGAGTGGCATACCTGGCTAAATATATATATATATATATGAAAAATATTTAAATTTTGCAAAAATAAACAAAAAAAAATACCCATGGCAATTCATAGCCGGCATATAACCGTAGACATAGACTAGTCATAGATACATAGAATGACTCAAACTAAATAACGAAAAACACAGCTAAGAACTTACTAGTAGACACCAGTTAATGCTCAATAGGGATCACGTAGTTTTTCGCATTTTCTTAGTGTGCCGATCAAAATTTCGCGGCACACTTAGGAAGATCTCGTGGCACCCCTGTGTGCAGCGGCACACTGGTTGGGAATCAGTGCCCTAGATCATAAAGGTTTTTTTTTATGATTTGCCCGACGGAAATTGCACGGCAAAATGTGTATTTCCGCTTTACCCATCTGTTCGAAAAATCCAATCGCCCGATATTTAGATGACTGTACACAAGTATAAATATTAAACGTACCTTAAGAGCCAATATCGTTCATGTAGGTATGCTTATATATGGATCTCGTTCGGATGACCAAGTATTTCAAACTAGGTCATTTTGGGACTAACATATGGTTTTATTTTATTTCAATAATTCGCTTGTGCGTAGGGGCCTTTAGCAGTGGGAGGAAACAGGAGGACCAGGAGAAAATCAACGAGGTTGGACAGACGACCCTACTCCTTGTCACGTACAACCGGGGATTCGAAACCACGCCAGTTGACTCAATGACAGGCTTTATGATACAGCACGCACGTGCTAACCATTCGGCCATTCCCCCCCCCCCATAGGCTTTAGGTTTGGTGGAATCAATATATGTTTCAAGTACATTTACATGATCTTGCGATCAAAAAACAAAAGATTAGCATCTTCCAAAACTATTGGAATGTTGTAACGTATCTTGTTATGCATTGTCTAATTGTTTATGTTACTAGGAGCCGTAGCTGTTAATGAATTTATGAGATTCGCCAATGATAAAACAGGAGTCGCTAAATTGACTGGAAAAACCAAGTTTGTGTTTAATATGTTCAACAAATTCAAAATCCACTTTTGTTACTATATACCAACCAAAAGAGGTAAGGCCATTCTTCAAAATTTTGAATTCAAGTATTCACTCACAGCAGATACTTGGTATGGTGTTATATTATACTTGATTAACATACACAAACTACTATACAGTACAGTGGTGTATTATTATAATTAGTTAATGTACACCCCATACCATATTGTTGTGGTGTAGGCTAATATTATAATTAGTTAATGTACACCCATACCATATTGTTGTGATGTAGGCTAATATTATAATTAGTTAATGTACACCCCATACCATATTGTTGTGGTGTAGGCTAATATTATAATTAGTTAATGTACACCCATACCATATTCTTGTGGTGTAGGCTAATATTATAATTAGTTAATGTACACCCCATACCATATTGTTGTGGTGTAGGCTAATATTATAATTAGTTAATGTACACCCCATACCATATTGTTGTGGTGTAGGCTAATATTATAATTAGTTAATGTACACCCATACCATATTGTTGTGGTGTAGGCTAATATTATAATTAGTTAATGTACACCCCATACCATATTGTTGTGGTGTAGGCTAATATTATAATTAGTTAATGTACACCCCATACCATATTGTTGTGGTGTAGGCTAATATTATAATTAGTTAATGTACACCCCATACCATATTGTTGTGGTGTAGGCTAATATTATAATTAGTTAATGTACACCCCATACCATATTGTTGTGGCGTAATATTATAATTAGTTAATATAGACATCATACTATACTGTTGGGGTCCAATGTTATAAAATTAGTTAATTTAGACATCATACTATACTGTTGGGGCGTAATGTTATAAAATTAGTTAATTTAGACATCATACTATACTGTTGGGGCGTAATGTTATAAAATTAGTTAATTTAGACATCATACTATACTGTGATATTATAATTAGTTAATCTGATACTATAGTATAGTATACTGCACGTTGGTGTAGTATTATAATTAGTTAATATATTTAACAGATTGTGGTGGTGTGATATCGTTAAATGATGATACACCAGAAGTTACGTTCACATCACCAGGATACCCTTCATTATACGATGATGCAATGGAATGCAGCTGGTTAGTTAAGGTAAATATAGTTCACTGTAGGTCAACATTCCTAATCGTGAATCCTATTCATTAACAGCTACGGCTCCTATTAACATAAACAATTAGACAATGCATAACAAGATACGTTACAACATTCCAATAGTTTTGGAAGATGCTAATCTTTTGTATCATAACGCCAAATGTCAACTGGCGTGGTTTCGAATCCCCGGTTGTACGTGACAAGGAGTAGGGTCGCCTGTCCAACCTCGTTGGTTTTCTCCTGGTCCTCCGGTTTCCTCCCACTGCTAAAGGCCCCTACGCTCAAGCGAATTATTGAAATTAATATTAAACCATATGTTAGTCCCGAAATGACATAGTTTGTGTCGAGTGGACGTTAAACTCTCTCTCTCTCTCTCTCTCTCTCTGACTCTCTCTCTCTCGCTATAATATACTTAATTTCTTACCAAATATTATGTGCATGTATACAATAAAAATATCATTTATATAATTTAATATACTGCAGTTCAGATAGACGGAATGCAATATTACTATTTATTTGTTTTACTAGGGACCAACAAATAGTAATGTTGTGTTGAAGTTTGAAGATTTTGACTTTGAATCTGGAGAAAAACGATGTAAGGATAGCCTTGAGATCAGATACAATCAGATTGGTCAAACAGGATTCAAGTACGTTCTATTTTACACCTCCATGAGGGTCGTGCTGACTGTTTATTTTACATGAGAAACAAAATCATGTGTGTGAGGGGGGGGGGAGGGACAAAACCCTAATATTTATATCGTAATGCGCCATCCGATTAATTATTAGCTGTGTGAAACATGGTTGAGTCGATTTGTAGCATATCTGAGCCAAGTTGTATGTTTGACACTGGTTGAGCAAGATGGATACCGTGATAAACTACATTGCCAACATGTTATTGCACCCACTTCACTTGTCCCCTCCCCACCTCAACCCTCGTCCGTTCAAATATTTTATTTAAGACAACATTTCTCTCCCCTACCCCTATACTCGTCCTTTTCTCTCTCCCCTACCCCTATACTCATTCTTTTCTCTCTCTCTCCCCTACTCCTATACTCGTCCTTTTCTCTCCCTACCCCTAGACTAGTCCGGTTCTCTCCCTACCCCTATACTAGTCCGTTTCTCTCCCTACCCCTATACTAGTCCGTTTCTCTCCCCTACCCCTATACTCGTCCGTTTCGTCACCAGTTCTAGAAATGAGAGATAAGGTAAGAACTACTACGTCTTGTTTTAGATTCAACCTGTCACCGTATTCATCATAATTACTCAATATTCCACGCTACCCAGTACATCTTTATTACTCAATATTCCATTTTTTAGGTTCTGTGGAGATAAGTTTGATAAAAATATCCGGAGTATCAATAATTTTATAGTGTTGGATATGAAAACAGATATGGGAGGAAGACGGAAGGGTTTTAAAGCACGTGTTACACTTGTTAGACGTAAGTAAAGAGAGAGAGAGAGAGAGAGAGAGAGATAGAGAGAGGTGGGGTTTAAGTCCACTTGTCCTTTCTGAACTAACATATTTTTCATTTTATTTAAATAATTCGCTTGCGCTTATAGATCTGTAGGTGTGGGGGGAACCGGGGGGACCCGTAGAAACGAAAGATCCCTTGGCAGATGGAATTCGGTATAGTAGTAGGCCGAAACGACGCTGTTCGGGAAAAAGTCCCCTGTAGCACACTGTATGGTGTATGCCCGTCTTCATTAGCAGAACAGTAGGACTTTAAATATCATTTCATTTCATGACTTAAAATATGCATGTAGCTAGAAAATTGATATTGATATTCTTAATGATATATAATATAACATTCTTATGTTTAGATGTGTTATATAATATATTATGATGGTTCCGTGTCTTATTATAGCTAAAGATATGTGTTATAATGCTATATAATTGCTGTGTTATATAATATTATTCCGTGTTTTTTGTATAGCTGAAGATATGTGTTATACTGTGAGTGATAGAGGCCAGACTTATCGTGGTAAAGTGAATTATGACCGTGATTTTAGATCGTGTATACCCTGGCGAAAAACAACTAATTGTCCACATCATCAATATCAATCAGAGTAAGCAGGTTTAGTAAATCTTATTGCTCTTATTAGTATATTACTATTTTATATTATTAGTAGTATATTACTGTTTTATATTATTATTAGTATATTACTATTTTATATTATTAGTATATAACTATTTTATATTATTAGTAGTATATTACTGTTTTATATTATTAGTAGTATATTACTGTTTTATATTATTAGTAGTGTATGACTATTTTATATTATTAGTATATTACTATTTTATATTATTAGTAGTATATTACTGTTTTATATTATTAGTATATTACTATTTTATATTATTAGTATATAACTATTTTATATTATTAGTAGTATATTACTATTTTATATTATTAGTAGTATATTACTGTTTTATATTATTAGTAGTGTATGACTATTTTATATTATTAGTATATTACTATTTTATATTATTAGTAGTATATTACTGTTTTATATTATTAGTATATTACTATTTTATATTATTAATAGTATATTACTATTTTATATTATTAGTAGTATATTACTGTTTTATATTATTAGTATATTACTATTTTATATTATTAGTATATCACTATTTTATATTATTAGTATATTACTATTTTATATTATTAATATATAACTATTTTATAATATTAGTAAGGTATGACTATTTTATATTATTAGTATATTACTATTTTATATTATTAGTAGTATATTACTGTTTTATATTATTAGTATATTACTATTTTATATTATTAGTAGTATATTACTGTTTTATATTATTAGTAGTATATGACTATTTTATATTATTAGTATATTACTATTTTATATTATTAGTAGTATATTACTGTTTTATATTATTAGTATATTACTATTTTATATTATTAATAGTATATTACTATTTTATATTATTAGTAGTATATTACTGTTTTATATTATTAGTATATTACTATTTTATATTATTAATATATTACTATTTTATGTTATTAATATATTACTATTTTATGTTATTAATATATTACTATTTTATACTATTGGTATATGACTATACTATTGGTATATGACTATACTATTGGTATATGACTATTTTATAATATTAATATATTATTATTTTATATTATGACAAATTAATTAGTTTGAATATGTTTTTAGTCCATATATACATTAAATTACCCAGTTTGTACGCGGGAATGTATCTTTAAGTTGATCTATGTTCTTATGCCCTTATTGGTGTCCTCCCATTTCGCCTATGTCCCATTTCGACCACAGCTTATAACAACATATTATATGGTCTGGTGGTTTTATTATCCTACGTATATACCCTGTCTATAGCTAATAGATTCTTCCATAAAACATCCCATTTAGGCTACAGCGTTTAACAGATTATACCAAAACAAACAGAAAAAGGAATGAACAGTAGTCCAAATATAATATTTACAAAGCACTGATAATCCAAACAGTAGTCCAGATATAATATTTACAAAGCACTGATAGTCCAAACAGTAGTCCAAATATAATATTTACAAAGCAATGTTAGTCCAAACAGTAGTCCAAATATAATATTTACAAAGCAATGTTAGTCCAAACAGTAGTCCAGATATAATATTTACAAAGCACTGGTTCCATTGTCTATTTCCTTGTAGCACTAGTAGTCCAAATATAACATAATAGTTGATATTTTTGCTCTGATGTTCAAGAAAACAAGCCATAATATATATAATATATATTGAATAAGCTATTTTAAAAATAATCATTACCTTAATAATTAGATCTCTTAATAGGCGGAACAGTTCATTGCTGATTAGATGGGGGTCAGGATTTTAGTGGTAATAAAATTTGTAGTCGAAATGGGGTGTAGTCGAAACGGGAATGAATCTCTTATTTATGTTAATTATTTTGTTTTGCTTTTTTTTTTCAGACAAACTGGCGCACCATTAGAAGATAATTACTGTAGAAATCCTGATCATACGTTCACACCTTGGTGTTATATACTAAACTCAGAAGGCGAATGTGAACGAAATTACTGTGATGCTTGTGGACTGGGTAAATTTATTATTCTCTATGTAGGAAGTATATAACGTACATGTAGCTAACAGTATTTTATTCCTCTTAACGTTCGGGATAATTTTTGTTATTCACTTTTTTGGATTTTCCTTTTTGTAGTTTTGTCTATTTTGCTCTATGTTTTGTTGGATAGTAGAAGTAATGTGACTGGATGATTTTTGATTCAGTTTCGGATGTTAATTAAAGCAAAAGTAGTGATTTATTTACATTTGAGTGAATTGTTTTGTCACGTGGATATTAGTTGCACAGATAGAGCCAATATGGAGGTAACTGTCATGTTCAACAACCGACACTTTAAGCTAAAATTGAAGCTATATTTCTACTTTCACTTTTTTTTCGAAACGACCAGCACCTGCCCGGCCACTAATCGAAATGGCAGCTCAGATGAGAAGTATTCAATATTTTAATTTGATAGTAAACAATGTTGTTAAACTTCTTCCCTGAACAATCCTTATCTTCATTTACCAGTTTTTGTAAATATTTTATTAATTTCATATTTGTAGAAGATGCATATGATAAAGTGAGGAATTGTAAGAAACTGAAAGAAGAAGGTTTCTGTTCAAAACCGAAAGAAGAGGTTTTACCAAAATGTGCGAAAACATGTTCAGCTGCAGCATCAAAGGAAAAATCAAGTTAGAAAGTTACTGTTTAATTTAACTTTTATACTTTATATTAAATTATATTTTCTGGAAACTCATCCCGAGGTTAACTTAAACAATACAGCTCCGGATTCTGATGACCAGGTCCAAACCATTGCCATAGTTACATACAAATAGTGTATGCTTATTCTGTTTTGATCCCCTAATACCCCTTACACTATTTTGTATCACTTCAGATCATAAGGTGTCCCCGAGTCATGTGACATGGTTTCGATCGCAAGATTGTACGTGACAAGGAATGGGTTGCCCGTCCAACCTCATGGCTTTTCTGCGTGCCCCCCGTTTCCTCATATTGCTACAAACTCCTACGTGCCAGGGAATTATTGAAATCAAATTGCATCATGTTGTTAGTCCAAACTAATGTTAAAGATACTTTATGGGAGATTATATAATAGTTAAAACCTAGATAATGTAAAGGGAATGTACTGAAAATTTCAGTCAAATTGATCCACTCTGTACCGATAATTTAGCGATTGAATTTTCGGCCTAGCCTCGATCATCTTTACTAAAATCGGTACGATACAAAACAGTCTCGATTATACATTTCATGATTAAATCATGAATGAAAGTTGAGCAGCAAATCGGATCCTAATCCAGTAAATATTGCAGGATAGCAATGATATCGAGAGTTGATTATGGTTTGGGTACGTTAATTAATGTCAAATTATTAATTTAGATAACATTTTAGGCCTAAAGAAAGGCCTGCAATAGGCAGATTTGGCTCTTGGATAATGTATGTTTAATTCGTTATCAATCCCAATGTACGAGTTCAAGCAGTTGCTATCAGTTGCAAACTATATTATTGTGAAGGATACATCTCTGATATGAATACCAGTCCAAACATGGTTCAGTTCCGGTCAGTATTGACAAAGATATGTTGAATTGAAATTTCATCGATCTATGCCGCTCGCTATGTATTAAACCTCCCGTCATTTTCCACAAACATTTATTGGTAGGCCTGGTGAATCTAAGTCGGTACATTATCTAATGTTGGCATTTTGATTTGTTTTTCTTAATCAAATGTTAAATGAGGGAGAGGGAGAAAAATGGGATTTAACGTCCACTCGACACAAACTAGGTCATTTCTGGACTAACATGATTTTAATTTTTTTTATTTCAATAATTCGCTTGCACGTAGGGGTCTTTAGCAGTGGGACGAAACCGGAGGACCCGGAGAAAACCCACGAGGTTGGAGAGGCGACCCTTATCCTTGTCGCGTACAACCGGGGATTCGAAACCACGCCAGTTGGCTCAATGACAAGCCTTATGATACAGCGCGCACGTGCTAACCATTCGGCCATCCAACTCCCCCAAAAATGTTAAATAATCAATTTGGGTACATATTAGTGTGGATTAAGCCCTGATGAATTTGATATTTTAGCGAAAAATTAAATAACGAATCGTTACTTTAATGGGTTTTTTTTTATGTTTTCCAGTAACTATGGTAAAATGTCCAGCACCGGAAAAATTAGCAGATTCAGATCTTGTCGGCGAACTTAAATCTTCATATTCTGTTGGTGACACAGTTAAATATCAGTGTAAAACCGGAAATGAAACTCATATTATATCTTGTTTATCTGACGGAAGTTGGTCACCTGGGAAATATGTCTGTGGAGGTAAATTAATCTTGTATCCACATTATGCAAGGCGTAGGAGGTATTTGATCCACTTTATGTAAAACGTGCGATGTCTTGGAGTCACGTTAATTCGGAAGTACGAAGTCTTGGATCTACATTATGTAAGGCGTAAGAGGTCTTTGATCCACTTTATGCAAAACGTACGAAGTCTTGAAGTCACGTTAATTAGGAAGTACGGACTGTTGGATCTACATTACGAGGTCTTGGATTCACGTTATGTAAGACGTACGAGGTCTTTGACCCACGTTATGTAAAACGTACGAAGTCTTGAAGTCATGCTAATTAGGAAGTACGAAGTGTTGGATCTACATTATGTAAGACGTACAACGTTAGAGGTCTTGGATTCACATTATTTAAGTCGCACGAGGTCTTCGATCCACATTATGTAAGACGTACGACGTCTCGGGTTAACATTATGTAAGACGTACGACGTCTCGGGTTAACACTATGTAAGACGTACGAGATCATGGATTCACATTTTATTTAAGACGTAAGAAGTCTTGGATCAATATTATTTAAGACGTATAAAGTAACCGTATTCCCACAGAACAAGTCCGTCTACCGTTCGTTGTACGAATTGTCATTAAACTGTAATTTCATAATAAATTTCTTTTAAATTGACATGCAAGCCATGGAGAGAACGTGACTGGGATGTCCAAGTCTATGAATGTTTTCTGTTATACCTTCGAATACCGGAAGTATAATCTTCTTCTGTTGTATATCGATGTAGTATTTGGACACAAAATACATATTATTACGTTGCATAGCGCTCGCATTAAAGGCTTAATCTCACCGATAATTGATTGATGATTGCTTGTCAATCTTTTGTAGAGTAACGGCAAGATTTTACAATGTTATTTCAATGCCAATCGTGTGACGGAACCGCTGATTGATATCACAATTCGTAATATTCAGAATACGGAACATTCCGGACTGACAATCGAGCATCCTCATTATGATCTGTGCGAGCGAACGATAATTATATTAAAATTAAATATATATAATATAGTTCCGAAATATCATGTTTAGATGATTCTCAAATGATTCGACATTGACAAACAACACTGGCCCAGATTTTCCGGCGTGGATCCCCCTTGTCAGTGATGCAGGACAGAGGGCCTGACAAGGACAGCTGTCTAGTCGTTCGGATGGGACGAAAAACCGAGGTCCCGTGTACATATTGGCGTGCACGTAAAAGATCCCTTGACAGCTGGAATTCGATACAAGAGTAGGCCATAGTGCTTCTGTCGGGACAAAATTTCCCTCATAGCACACTGTATGGCGTATGTCCGTCTTCATTAGCCCAGTTCGGAGCAGAACAGTATGAAGTTAAACCCCATTTCATTTCATTTCATTGACAAAGTAACTAACGACGACTTACTCTTCAATTCAGCTTGTTCTACTGGCTGGCTAGCATCGGGTGGAGTTTGTTTAAAATACTTTTCACAACCCTTGACCTTTGTCATGGCAACACAATTCTGTCAACAATATGGCGGATCTGTAGCAGATGCCAAGACGAAAGAACAGATGGAGTTTCTAGTCTCCATAAGGTTAGTATTAATGCGTATGAATAGTGTTTAGTCTCCGTGGTGTTGATACTATATTATAATACTCTCTCTCGCTCTCGCTCTCTCTCTCTCTCTCTCTCTCGCTCTCGCTCTCTCTCTCTCTGTACTATAGGTATTCTGGGTATTCAAACGTATTCAGATCCAATTAATATCACAGACTAACGATTGCATCAGAGTTGATTATGGTCTTGACAAATTAATAAATGTCTGATAAATAATTTAGATACCATTTAAGACCTAAAGAAAGACAGGCAATAGGAAGATTTTACTCTGCATAATGCATGTTTAAGCAGGTGATTCCCCTCTTTTATCTTCTGACGTTTCTTCATTCCAGAACTAAAACTTTTACGATGTGGATCGGCTTGAATGATATTAAAGAAGAGGGAAAATTCGTCTGGTCAGACGAGACACCTTTAGTCTGGAACAATTGGTCTAAAGGTAAGTGGGGTTTAGTTGGATGTTAGATTTTAGTGCTTTGTTCTACTATCTTCGCCATTACTAGAATATTAAGATAAAAGACGATATCATTTACTGATCATTAAAATAAATGTCCCTTTATCTTATGTGATGCAATATTAACTTGTGGCGGTTATATTTCTTAGGTTACCCAATATGCCACAGCTTTCTCACTTTACATAGACAAAAGTAGAGCTCAGTTTAAAGTCCACGGTTCAATAAATTTGAGATTGTTAGACATGATTTGTCTTATCATAGTTTCTAATTCGTTCTGACATCGTTTAAACCATTACAATTGAAATCTGTTGCGCAACATCATGTTACCGGTTGTGCGTCGTATATTTATAGGGGTAATCCGCTTCCATTTAGATACATATAAAATATGGAATTGGATTGATTTCATGAGCTCGTTGTTTTGAAGGATTCAGCAAAGTGGTCAAATTAACACTGTCGCCCCATCGCCATTATTATTATTATTATTATTGTTCGATTTATATAGCGCTTCATTACACACGAGTGTTTCAAAGCGCATCAAATCACTGATCAAACCATTTTAACAATTTTGTTTGACCATACTCAAAACGGTTCTGGTATTTGTTATATGTAAATTATGTTTGTATTTTCAGGCTCACCTAACAATAATTATAATATGGAAGATTGTGTTATAATGTATGGCGAACAACTTGATAATACATGGAATGATCATCCTTGTCGTTCAAAGTTCTACCAGTACTCCTTCACGTGTCAGAACAAACCTTCTAGTTAGTATTTCTGTAGATATAATTTATATGGGGAGCAGAACGGGTCATATTACAACAAACACTAATAAAACATAATATGGAGAGAAGAAATGGTATTTTATTGTATTTTATGGTATTTAATAGTTTATTGTATTTGGTATTAAATGGTGTTTGATATTTTATTGTATTTTATGGTATTTAATAGTTTACTGTATTTAGTATTAAATGGTATTTGATATTTTATTGTATTTTATGGTATTTTAGAACGAATATTATGTGTTAATCGCCGTGAAGACTGTAAGAAGTTATTACAGGCCGATCCTAAAATGTGTGTCTCAAGACGAGATTTCAGTAGTGAAAACTGTGCTGCCGACTGTGGTATTTGTAAAACAAGCCAAGGTAAGATAACTCTCGGCTGTCCTGTTGTGTGGAAGCAATCATATCAACAAGCAAGCAGGACTGCTGTAGCTAATCGAAGATCAACAATAATTTATACAGTTCCTGTCGTTTGAAGAATGGGATAAGAGAAAACGATAAAAATAGAAAAGTCCGTGCATCACCATGTTTTTATTAGGCATAGAATGAATAAAACAAGGTAATGTACAGACTATTTTTATTTTTCTCGTTTTCCCTCATCTAGTGACATTCAATCACTTTTTTGAATTATCAGATATCCTCTCACAGCCTCACATAACAACTTTTGGTCTTCGAAGGAATTATTAGTGAGCAGAAATTCGCCCGTGTATCTGGTATCACGCGTTACTTCTGTCAGTTATATAGAAGGATGACTCGTGTTTTCCTTTTGCGTTCGTCACTTACCTTTCTTGAATGCTTCATAACGTATCTATCGTAGCAATGATCTCTGTGTTAAAATTATATTTGGAACGTGTTTAACCAGTTCTATCACATATTTGATAATGACTGACACAATTGTCCTTTAAGCGAACGGTCAACATTATTATTTGATATTTTATGGTATTTGATATTTTATTGTTTTTGTTATTTTATTGTTTTTGATATTTATGGTATTGGATATTTTATGTTATTTGATCTTTTATGGTATTTTTGATATTTTATTGTATTTTATGGTCAACAATATTATTATTAAGCTTTCATATGTAATAAGTATTATTATTATTATTATTAGAAGTTAAATCGTGTGATGTAGTAGCTGCAACACCTAATGTTATATTGGAGACGCAAGAAAAACAGATACCAACAGGTCACGTGGTGAGATATAAATGTCAATCAGGATTTGTTCAAGATGGCGGCGACAAGGTTCGGTCATGTATGGTAGACAAGTCGCTGTCAGGCAAACCACTAGTTTGTAAATGTAAGTAATCTCGGTAATAATAGACAGGTTCGGATGCACTCCCAGATGGAGAATGAGGACGAGGTGGTTGCCTTTTTGCATGCTACGTCATCAGTTCCCAGGGGCTTCCCCCACGGCAGTAGACGTACTCGCTCGTGAACACGTCTTGGACTCTCTGCAGTCGTAACTGAATTCCGTGGTGGTTTAATTCTGTTTTAGACAATCTTGTTCATAACTATTCCGAAACATATCCCTTTTGAATATACCAGCCTTTGTTAGGCACTGTTTGACTCTTCGAATAAAAGCGAAATGATAGAACGAATCGATACTTTCAAACAGTGCACTTTATGCTCGATTCAATTTTAATGAAATGTGTTTATGGTTTACTTATTTCGTTTATGGCTACTAAATTTTATTTTGTAGACTTTATACCTGACATTAAATGAGATGGACGCTGGTGGACACAGATGGACGTTGATTAGGATGACCGTCAAAACACTGTTATCACGATGAACTGACCATCGCGCTTCACCTCGTTCTCATTCCCGGAACGCATAGGAACCTGTCTAATGATTTCCTACGTGAAATTCATATTTATTAAATTCCTACCCTCGTGTTTTTTGTCCCATACGAACAACTATAAGTTGTCCCTTGTCAACCCTCAGTCCTGCACCACTAGACTAGACACATGTCCTTGTCAGGCCCTCCCCGTCCTGGACCGCTGAAAAGAGGAACTTTCTTGGACAATACCGGGAGGGATCCCGCGAGCTCCAGCTAGCGAGCCAGCGTATTCCCCCCCCCCTTAGCCAAGATGGCTCCACTAGTGGCAGTGGTAGAATTGACACAGCAGTATTACTATAAGTTAAAGAGGCACTGCTATTAATCCGCATAATTGATACGTTTTTATATATTTCTATGATTTCAGCATCAGAAAACGTGATAGAGCCTAGCAACAATGTACAACTTCATCGATTTACACGTATTGGTAACCAATGTCAAATGTATACCTCTAGCAACGATAACTTCCGGATTAAACGATCAGGGGAGATAATGAAGTGGGAATTCTATTCTCTCTATCCTGGTCAGGCGGCTTTAGTTGTGTTTAGACCAACAAATGATAAATTTCAGTAAGTTTATAAAGTTTAGATTCGTAATTCTTAATAATAGAATGGCTATTTTTGTATTTTGCGAATGCGGAAATACCAACAATTTCTTATTTTTTGAATTTCCTATTTAAAATTAAGTTTTCGATTAAAAATTCAAATTTTAAGTAGGAAATCCAAAAAGCAAGAAGTAGTTCGTAGTTCAGCGGGGGGGGGGGGGGCGAATAGTTAGCCCCTGCGAGCTGTATCATACGGTCTGTTATTGAGTCAACTGGCGGGGATTCGATTCCCTGGTTGTACGTGACAAGGCGTAGGTCGCCTGTCCAACCTTGTGGATTTTCTCCGGGTCCCCCGGTTTCCTCCCACTACTTAAAACTTAAGACCCCTACGCGCAAGCAAATTATTGAAATAAAATTGAACCAGTTTGTGTCGCGTGGACGTTAAACCCAATTTCTCTTTCGGAGTTCAGCTTTCGTATTATGTTAATATATGGTTAATGCATATCTCTTTGGTTAATGTATATCGTTAACGTTTGTATTTTAGATTCCAAGTTATAGGTATAAACCAACTGGTAAAGTCATCCGATGATAGTTTACAAACACTTGCCATACCCCCTAACGAGAGGATTAAAGTTCAGCCAAATGATCAGATTGGTATCTGGTATGCGTATAAACGGGCTGGAATTCCATTTGTATACTGTGACGGAACTGAGCACCCAGAGGCTGATAATACACTACAGTTGAAGGGTTACATGTGTAACCCCAACCATCTACAAGTTGACAAGGTTTACAGTTTTAACCAGAGAAGGGTCCTGTGTAGAATATTTTCACTTAGAGCACAAATTGGACCTGCAAGTTAATATAAAATAATTATCGCCTGTTAATGTTAATTTGTTGATGGCAAATGAACATTTAAATTAAAATATGTGTAGATTTAATCAAATGTGTAGATTTAGTTTTCAATAGCCGACAGTTGAAGCAAGGGCTGAGATTAAACACTGTAAATTAAATCAGGAGACAGATTGAGTAGATTCAAGTTACAGTATAAACACCACGACTAGACAGCTGCCATTGTCAGACCCTCCGTCCTGCATCACTGACAAGGTGGAAACACGCCGCGTTGAAAGCCCTTTCGGTGCTGTAAAGTAGGACCTATCAATCTTAGAATTTTTCGTAGACCAAGAAATTTCCTCGGTAGTTACCGATACGGCATCACCTTGTCAGCGGTGCTGGACGGCGGGGGTTGGGGGCTGCAAGGACTAATACGAGTAGACCGTAGCCCATAACCCTCTGTATGGGGTAAGACCGCCACTATTAGCCCCGTCAGAAGTTAACCTCCACTTAAATTTATTACATTTTCTTGGAAGAAATATGTTAATATTCCCTTATTAGTGCATGAGCTTTGGTATTCAACCAGGTCAGAAATTGCGACAACTGACAGACAGACGACCACATTTTAAAAGTGTCCTAATGTTTTCTTCGAGGGGCAGGGCCAGCTGTGGGGTTTTACGGTTTTCAGGGTTGTCTGACATATCATAATTCACCCGACACTGTTTAATAGAGTTTTCTCCCTTTACCTCAGCAAACATGTAAAATAGCGTTAATCAGTAAGTTATTCCGTTGTTTTATGTGACTGGGCAATAAAATCAAATGAAATGGGCTTTAACGTCCTACTGTTCTGCTCCCAACTGGGCTAATGCAGACGGGCATGCATCATACAGTGTGCTATGAAAGAAATTGTGCCCGGACAGTAGCACCACGGTCAACTCTTATATCGAATTCCAAATGTCAAGAGATCTTTTCCAAGCGTACACCGGACTTCGGTTTTTCGTCCCATCCGAACGACTAGACAGCTGCTCTTGTCAGACCCTCCGTCCTGCATCACTGATCAGGTTTAAACACGCCGAAAAATCTGGATGAACTTTCTGGGTCAATGCAGGGGTCGATCGAACACTCGATCTCCAGGCTAGCGAGCCAGCGCCTTGCCCACCGTGACCCCCAAGTGACTGGACAATATCAGAGATCCAATATAAATGTCTAAATAATGATTTGATGCCAGACAAAAGACCTGTAATAGGCAGATTTAGCTATTACTTAATGAATAGGATTGATAAAAATTAGATTCTAGAAAAACACTATGCTCGTTAAAGGGACAATAACACTCTTGCTGGCTTGAAAGCTCCAGAAAATAAATAATATCTCTATCTAAGTACTAGATGTTTAAGTGTCCTACCTGTTGTGTAAATTATCAATTACATCCTATTTTACTTGTCCAGAGGGTTCGAAAATATTTTTAAATCGAAGTTTCATTTGAAAAGGTTTACGTTAGAGGTTTCAAACCATTATGTTGAATTTTTCAAAATTCTTAAATAAGATGTGTTGTCACTGCGGCAATTTGCAGTGAAGTTATAAATTGGTCTGATCCCTGGGAATGGGTTCTTAAATGGAGTTACCTCCCATAGTTCAGTAAAATTGAGAACTAAGAGGAGATCACTCTAGAGTCTGTTGAGGCAGCCATGTGCTCAGGGTGATCTAGCCTGGAATCTTCATGTATATTTTTTGTTTGTTTATCCCACAAAGTTGTCAACGATTGTTATCTCCTACTCCTACTCCTAATTACCAAGGTGAATAAACTATTGATAACTGGTACGACTATTGATTGATTCAATTGTGTTTTGAAACTCCCAGTAGAGACGAGTGACTCTAGGGCAGCCACAATAACAATCGACTAGTGTATCCGGGTAGACAAATAAAAAATATAGATATGTCAGATGTCGGCAGAGTAACAGAAAACCCAAACACAGAAAATGGTGCAGCAGGTCAAAGTGTGGCAGGTGGTGGCAGTGTCATTGACACAGACAGCCACAGACGCCAGGTTAAGCTTACACAGAAAGGCCTAGAATACCAGATAGAGTTAAAGAATAAATTATTGAAGTCTAAGAGGACAGAGTTTCAAGAGAAAAAGAAACAGATTATCCTACTGAAAGGTGTTTGTGCAGATCTTCGAGTTTGGAAGAAAGAATTTGGACAGGCACAGATTATTTTAGAAGAATACAGAGGTATTTTTGAAGAATTTAAAAATCTTTTTGAGGGTATGGAAGAACGAGAAGATTATTTGCAGACTAAAGCCCAGGTAGAACAGTTTCAAATAGAATGGGATAGTTTTGAACAGGATGTCAGACTGGAGATTAGGTTTTTAGAAGAATACCAATTAGAGACTGCTTCAATTAGGTCAAAAGGATCTAGAAGGTCTGAATTTAGAAAAGATAATCTTGCAGTTAAAATAGCGTCAGAATTACAGAAAAAAGAAACAAAATTACAATTGCAATTAGAGGAAATTGAAGAGGAAAAAAAGACCAAACTTCAAATAACAGAAGAGAAAAGAAGGCAAATAGAATGTCAACAAAAGGAAATAGAGGATGAAGTTCATCAAAAGGAAACTAAATTAAAGGCAGAATTGACTAAAATAAAAGAAGAAATAAACAGTCAAAAGTTGTCAGAAGAAAATGAAGATGAAGAATCACAATACAAGCAAGACCTAAGTCCTATTCCTACAGAAGGGAAAGAAGAGAAGTTGTCCAGATTTTTTGAATCACAGGAAGAAAGCAGTAGAGCTTATAGATATGAAGAGACAGAAAGTAATGGATGGATGAAGATAGCATCCTCATTAGAACGATGTGTAGAGAAGCTGGCAGAAACTAACAAAGAACAGAATGAACTTAACAGACAGCTAGTATCCTGCACTCAATTACCCAAATTAGATGTTCCAGTATTCGATGGGGACCCTCTGAAGTACCCTTCATGGAAACACGCATTCACAGCTCTGATCGACTCCAAGGTGTCCAATGTAGATTCTAAATTAAGCTATCTGAGAAAATATATTGGAGATGATCCGAAGGGACCAAAGGCATTGGTAGAACATTATTTACTGTTAGGAACAGAAGACGCCTATCGTAAAGCTATAGAAGCTATAGAAGACAGATATGGTAATAGCAGTGTTATTGCTACAGCCTTTATTAATAAAATAGACAATTGGAGAAACATAGACTCAAGAGATTCCACTGGTTTGAGAGCTTTTTCAGATTTTCTAGATGAAATAGTAGTAGCCAAAACCGATATCAAAGAACTTGGTGTATTAGACTATGCCAAGGAAAACGCCAAGATGGTGGGTAAATTGCCTTATTACTTAGACAGCAGATGGAGAGATACAATCTTATCCTGGAGGGACGCTAATGGAAAAAACAGTTTTCCCCCGCTTACCAAGTTTGCAGAATTTGTCAAGAAGGCAGCGGAGAAAGCCAATTTGCCTGAGTTGAACAATAATGATTTCAAACGAACAGGGTACGCAAAGTCAACTTCTAATACACATAGGTCCTACAACAATAATAGACCAAATGGAAGGTCTTTTCTTACGTCAGGTGTACACGAAGATAAGAAACCTACTTATGTCAACACAGACAGTGATAGTTGTTTATTTTGCAATGAGAAACACCATATAGATGATTGTAAACAGTTCATGAAAAAATCTAGATCTGAGAAAAAGGCTTTCTTCTTCCGTAAACGATTATGTATGGGATGTGCAAGTTCAAGGTCACACTATGTCGCAGATTGCAACAAGAAGAAAACTTGTAAAATTTGTAAAGGAGATCATCTTACTTGTTTCCATATATCGAAATCAGATTCTCTTGGAGATAAAGCAACATCACACTGTATGACCGTTTGTTCATTACCCGACCAAGATGGAAGAGAGCACAGCATGATAGTTCCTGTTTGGATTCGTCATAGAGCAAACCCATCAAAAGAATTCCTGGAATACTTGGTAGTAGATGACCAATCAAATGTCGGCTTCGTTGGAGATAATGTATGTGACAAACTTAACATAACAGGCCCTGAAACCAATCTTCGTCTAAGTACAATGCATGGAAGCAATAAAGTCATACACAGCAGGAAGATTTATGATCTCGAAGTCTTAGATTTCAAACGCGAACATATCATTCAGCTACCAGGATTGTTTACTCGTGATTCAATACCAGCCAGTCGATCCCAGATACCTAAACAAGAGGTCGTCAGACAATGGAGCCACTTGAAAGAAGTAGCTGATCAACTGATGCCTTACAACTCAAATGTCGAAATTTCGATATTGATAGGCAATGACTGCACCAGGATTGTTAGACCCAGAGCAATAATAACTGGAAAGGAAGACGAACCTTACGGACAGAAGTCGATCCTAGGTTGGGGAGTTATTGGTCGAGTCTGTAAGTCAAAATCTGAGTCAGAAAATAATAAAGACATCAACGGAATTTGTAACAAAATAGTTGCTTCAGAAACTTACAGCAATTTTGTATTCAATACCAAAGTTAAAGAAATTTTTGATGGTGAAAGACTTCTAAGAATCATGGAGACAGACTTCACAGATATTTTGAGGAAACCTTATTCCGTTGAAGATGAAAAATTTCTGAAGACTTTAGAAGATGGTATCAAGAAAAGACCTGATGGACACTACGAAATGCCTTTACCATTAAAGTCTAGCAATGTTTCACTCCCAAACAACTATAAACTAGCCTTGAAGAGATGGAATCAGTTAACCGGAAGATTTAGGAAGAATCCTAAATTCCTGGCTGATTACCAAGCTTTCATGAAAGATCTAATCGACAACTGTGCAGAAAGAGTACCCAGGGACAGATTACAACTTCATGATGGCAGAGTCAACTACATAGCTCATACAGGCGTCTACCATAACAGGAAGATTGACCAGATTAGAGTCGTATTTGATTGTTCAGCCCAGTATGAGGGAATATCACTAAACGACATACTCCTGCAAGGTCCTGATCTGATGAATGGTCTACTCGGAATACTATGTAGATTTAGAGAAGACGATATTGCATTCATGACAGAT